CTACGTCACGAACTTATGTATATTATACGTTACCTTCATTATCTGTCTGCAATCGGCCTTTACCCTCCACTCGAAATGCTAATACGACGAGGGCAGCCCCATTTAACGACACTTAGATTTATGTAAATTGCCAATATTATATTGATATTAAGATATTCATTTGTAATTTTTTACGAAATCGATTTTTAACGATCGTTAAATTGACTGGTGGTTATTTATGAATTACTTATATAAAATAGTGAAATTATTCAAACGGTAAATTAAAGTGTACATACTTTCTGTAAAATGAAATATTAGTAACTCTTTTAATTTTGAATATAGTTAGGTATATACGACCCATTGGGTCCTGCTCATAATTTATTTACAACTTTAACGATAACCTAAGAATTACAATAATCTAAGGGCTGAATATAACTAGGAGTTTATATATTTATTTATCTTCCAGAACATTAGCAATAATTTCTCTGCAAACAAAAAAAAATGTTTTTAAAGTCTCTATTAATTATCTTAAACCCATTTCGTGTAAATAACAAAGTTATTTGAATGGTGCCTGTAGATTACATCATACAAACTATATAAGTACAATTCCAATTTAAATCGAAACAGTGATTTAAGGCTTACACCATTACTCAATTGGTAGGTTGCCCAAACGTCCAATAATCTTGAATTATATATTTTGGTAAACATTTTCTTTGCAGATGCAGAATATTGAGCAGGGTTTCATACTCTGACACGTACTTGATCTGTTTTTGGGTGTCTGTTACCACAACCTTTTTTGAGTTCTGAATCCACCCCTGTCGCTTCTTTCTTTACTATGCCATCAAGTTACTTTGTTCTTTGACACTTGTCTAAATCAAAGAATTTTCTTCCTTGACAATCGAAAACATTATAAAACCCGCACAATCACCAAAAAGCATCATCCATATTAATAAAAATAATTGTATAACAATTAATTATTCTCTCAAATCACCGTTGTAACATTAATCTATATTCTATTCTACCACTAAGACCCCTACCAGACAACACTATCTATGTTGATTATCTGTACCGAACAAAATAGCATCACCCTTACCTTTTTACCTTTAAATCAAAGCGTGTAATTTACTACTAATAAATCTTCATGAATGACGTAAACCAACGCTTGCACCACAAACATGACCCACATTTTGAATCTTAAGTCTGTAGATATAAAATCCAAAACAGGTATCTAAATATCATTATAGTAGGGTGTTTTTATTGAGAACGTAAGACAATTAAAGGCACGTGCCAGCCCTAATTCGTAATTATTAAGAACAGTTCACACGGGCGGGCGAAGCGATTTACCTGTCGTTTGACTTACGCATTAAAAGGGCGGCGATCACACGCGATAGTTTGCTACGTGAGAAACTGTCTAATGAGTTAAGTAATCATAGTTCTATAATAGACATTATGACATTATTATTTTATTTGATAAAAGAAAAATTAAAACGAAACAATGAAAGTATAAAACACAATAAACAATATTCCTGTTTGTCTTTGTAATTATTATTATTGATTTCTATCAAACTTGTATAAAGTATAAATAATAAAATCTAAAGTTATTAATCATATAGACAAAATAAATTTTACTTAAAGGTATATATATATATATATACTTAAATATAAATAGCGAATTACTTTAAATATTTTTAGGTGGCGCAGTAGTTATCGCATTCGATCTGCGCTGCGGAGATTAAACAAATTTCTAAAAGCTGTTTTTAAAAATTGTTGCATTTGCAGTCGTTAATCCCCACTACCCGTATGATCGGTTTTAGGAGAACATTAATGCACTGATGATAATGAATAACAATACAAAATGTACGTACTTAAAAATTTTCTTCTTTTTGTATTCGTGCCAATAATATTTTTTAGTCAACATCCTGCATGTAGTACTTCAAAAGGAATCAAGGCTAGGGCTTACGATTTTCGTGAAATTAGAAATTTATCGAAAGTTTATTTTGTAAAAAATATTTTTTCGGCTGCTTGGATAGATTACCTGAACATTAATGAAGATACGCTCTATAGTAGCGAAAAAGTAACAAGTGCTTGAAAAAATTGACAGTATAAAAAAAAGGCCCTGGGTAGCTCAGTGGTTAGTGCAGTCACTCGGATTACCAAAAGTCACGGAGACAAAGTGGATTTTTTAAGCATTTTTCAATATAGCATTGTGAATACAAAATTGATCATATATAAAAAATACGTCTGTTTTAAAGGTCGAGTTCCTATTAATAAAAACGTAATTGTTTGAAACTAAACAAAATTAATAATGAATGTAGCAAATCGAGCAAACTACCAAATCCCCATATATCCCAACCAAGAACCCTCAACATTAATAGGCGAAGGCACAATATTTTGCCGATCGAGTCATTAATTGTGAGTAATAAAACCGATGAGGCATGAGGACAATGGGTCAAGTGAGGCGCGATCGGTACAAACGTTGTGACGTGCAGCCTAGAATAAATCACTGCGCACCACGCTCGTGTAAGCATCCCCTTACGCGGACAGATATATAGGGTCGGCTATGATCTGTGAAAAAAATAAGTGTTTCCTTATCATCCTCCTTCGTGATGTTTCAAATTATTGTTAATAAATACATAAAATTAGTAAAAAGCATGATAAATTAAAATATCCAAATGACTTGTTGATAAACTTGGTCATATATTTCGTTGTGGTGAAACTTTTGTTTTTTATTGGACATGAATATGAAACCTTTCCAGGGCTGTGTAACTCCTAGTTAGGCTTTATTTCGAATTTAATCAAACAAAGCAATTTATGAAACTTGAAATAAACGAAAATGTTTCATTAAATATAAGTAAAAAATAGGTTATAAAATAACACATATCTCCGAAAATTTGTTAACGTCGCCGTCGTCAGTTTTTAATCTATCCTATCGTTAGATTATAAGGCTCATAAACAAAACCTTTCGCTTATAGCATAAGCCATCATAGATTTAGTTGAGGTTAGATTAAGATTAGGGTTAGATTAACTTACTATTTTACGTTGTAGGAATATAAATTAAGATAACAAATTGAACGACTGGCTGTTCATAAAAAAATTAATACGAATCTCAATTTCGTATTCCGAACGTAAGATTTGAAATAAAACGTATAGAATTCCGTTTGGAATAGAGTGGCAGCGAGCACAATGGCTTCCCTTCGTTCCACACGGCTAATTCGGAACACACATCGCCAATATTGTTACGTCGTGACCCTGTTACTTGCCCGCTATGGAAAGGAACGATATCTTTTTATAAGGGGGTGTGAAACACGCTCGCGGTATTCCCATGTAACATTGTGGGGCTACTATGCGGTGAGCTGTTACGTTTTGATACACCAATGCAAAGTATTCAGTTTATAGTTCTGTTATTGATATTAGTAGTGACCGGATAAGTAAAAGTTTTATATGATTAAGATGAATATGTTAGTGGTAAAATCTATGCAAAAAAACCTATACAGAGTTATTTAGCAACATTTTTCTATCGAGCTAATTATTGAAATTTATGCTTCTGTTTTTAGCAAACAACCGATCTTATGTTTAATTTTCATTAGAGGATTTCTATTTGACAAATATAAGCATAGCCTTAGAATAAAATTATTTTAAAAAGTGGTCATTTCGTACAACCTCACTTTAAAAGTAAATGTCGTTCACAAAACATTTGTTTTTGGTTTCCTTTATACCTGCCAACCTGACCTCAACTTTCTTCAGATATAGTGATATCAAATTAGTCTTAAACGTAAATGAAACGGGTCAACTATAATGATGATTTGACAATATTACATTTGTTATAAAAACACTTTAGGCAGTATTTTTTTTTTCTATTATTTAGACATGTTTTCTCAGTTAACGCTAGATTACATAAATAACAGATGAAGGTAATTGATAAGAAAAGTGTTGGCCCGGGTTTAACTAGGCAACCCGGTTTTAAATTATTATTCTACATGCTATTTTGCTTAATACGAAAATATTTTCATATTACCGTATCTCTACCTTGTAAGAAACTATTTATTAAAGACTAATTCGCACTAAAAGTAATGATGACATAACATTTTCACGTCGACAACAGATGACGACACATTTAGCAGTCAAATATTTAGATGAAACGGTTATTTTCTTATTGACGTCAAGAGAATTGACCAAAAAACTTACTCGATATTTTTCTATCATATCCCATTAAAAAAACGTTCAAAAACATTGCTTCCATTTTTATTAACGCCTAGGTACCTTTTTCTCGCGCCTCCTTTTAGCCTACGTTACCCGCGTACTTCGTGTCCGCGTATGATGTAACTTCACGTGGGTGTAACTAAGAGAACTTTCAAATCGGTCCAGTTAGTAATTATGCTAGTAAGCGTAATTATGGAAAGTCAATATCGCTTCAATTATATCCCTTTATGACGTAATTATAGTAACTAGATCACAAAATAATAAATATATTTTTCACCATTATATTCTGTGCCATTAATTTGTTACGAAGAATGCTATGTGCATTGAAAATGTTAGACTTCAAGTAGACGGTACAATGATAAAATGCAAATATTTTAATGAATCATAAAATGATATAAATAATATGAAAATGCAATGAGATTCGATTGAGACGATATTATTTTATAGATATAAAAATTGTCAGAATTAAGGACCTGTAGTTCGGAGCCTATTCCATGTAAATAAACAAACAATCTTATCTTTCCTCTTTATAAGTATTATAACAGAAATATTTATTCTTACCTCGATAATAACAAAAAGTATTTCCTAACTAAAAAGGTAAATTAATGAATTAATTAATATGACTGAAATATTGTTGATAATTTATAGAATTTCAGTATTTCAAGAATGAATATAAATAAACGAAATAACAAAGAGCCTTTAATTTTTGCACTGAGTCAGATTATGTCATTTCCCTTTGTCATGAGTATTCTTCAGCGATCCATTGCGCCGAGTGAGAAATTAGCATGGATGCAGTGGTATAATAGAGTAATGGCACAATAATGATGCCCGGGGGAAGTGTTCTGGGACCACTCCTCGAGCGAATATTGATCGCTGAGGCTATGTGTATGTATTATCATCATGTTGCTCGGTGGACCAAAATTTATTGACAATTTAACAATAATTGTCTTTTTTATCGTCACACATTCAATGTGTCACTGCAATAAACCTTATGATGTTACTGTATTCGGAAAGGTCATGATTTTGTGTAAGAAAGTTTATGAGTTTGAAATAAAATTTTGTAATGTTAATGATAAGTTTGAATTTAAGCATCAGTGATGCTAGATATTTTTGAATAATAAAAAAATATAAAAAATAAATAAATATTGCGTTACCTTATGTTTTAAAAGCGAATACGAAGATAGTTTTGTATAATCTAACGTTCAGCTAACTGTACATAAATTGCCGTTGATAGTTGTAGTCCTATCGTATCTCAAACCATTTCAATTTCAGGTTCAGGTCAAATTCAGTTATGGCAGTTCCTCCTTGAGTTACTGAGCGATTCGAGCAACGCTGGCTGCATCACCTGGGAAGGCACCAACGGTGAATTCAAACTGACCGATCCAGATGAAGTGGCGAGGAGATGGGGCGAGAGGAAGTCCAAGCCCAACATGAACTACGACAAACTGAGTCGTGCGCTGAGGTAACAATCAACAAGGGGAATTAGCTATTGCGACTTACCGGGTACCCGATTTAACAGCTGCGCGACTGTATCTGCGACTTCTATTACGCTGTGCGGTCGCACGTCTTATGTTTTGTTTCCAATTAAACAAAAGACGCACGACTTGTTACGTTGCAACAACCTGCGATTGATAATGAATAAGCAAACAAAACACGTTTGTTTATGTTCTTGTGTTAACATTTACGTTTTTAATAATGTCGGTCTTTGTGCAGATACTATTACGACAAAAACATAATGACGAAAGTGCATGGGAAGAGGTATGCATACAAGTTCGATTTCCAAGGGCTAGCTGCGGCCACGCAACCGGCGGCGAGCGACCCCGCCTACAAGTATCAGAGCGATTTGTTCATGAGCTCTTACCACCACTCTGCGAAGCTCTCATCGTTTATGGCCCCACATGCTGCTATGCCCACTTCCACAGGTAAAATATCGCTACGACATGCTAAAGCGAAAGCTCTGCAATTTACTTTTTGTATATTATTTTTAATTAAATACTTGATTATATGTTTTCATACTACCTTAAAATTTTATATCATTTAAAAGAACGTATATAGAGTTCAAAATTGGCTATATCTGAATAGACACCCTTAACTCCTGTTCCCTTCGTGTCACTTAATAATCTGCATTTGTAATGTGCACTACCTTGCACAAATATTTGGCTACCACTTGAAACCGGATGTCGCACCTTCAATCTTGACTTAAATATCCTTAAGCTTCCTACATTTGTGAAATGTAATTTCTGTCTACTATTTTGTTTTATAAACATATCATATATCATGAACAGCTGACCTAGCCAAACGATTTGTTCATAGAATCATCACGCCTGGTAAAGGCGTTTTTTAGTGAATTAGCATGCGGGGTGCGATTGCGGGCGATCTCTGTATGCTGACTTCATTCGTCGACCAGCCATTTTAATTTAAAATTATTAACATTATACCCCTGATAGGTGTCGGTGGTGCAGCCATATCAGCATCACTAGTATTAGTCCATTTCTTTATATTATCAAACCAGTTAACCCGCTTTCTTCCTAGCCCTCTCCTCGTATCCACCTTTCTTTTAGTTATTAATTAAAATGATCTCAAAATAGGTAGTCATTTACATGTCAACAATAATTTACGTGTTTAAGAATCAATTGTTTCCTATGAGTAACCTCTCTGCCTATAAAATTATGTTAGTATGTCAATCGCATTGACTTTTACTTATACAAAAGAACAAAGATTGTATACTATTAATTATTACTTTTGTACACACAAAGTCATCTAAAACTGAAATTATCGGGTGTGTCTGACGTTATATTCTACCATTTCTATCATACTCGTAGATACTTAATTTAAAATGAGTTTTACTGAATATATTTTGTATGTAATATAAAATATTTCATATGTGTTCTTGTGCATTTTCCTTGGTTAAACGACTACCAAATGGACTCTTGTTTTTAAATTATGTACCTGTACATTATTTACAACAGAAAACTTTGGAGATTCTCAAATTGTGTTTCAAAATTGTATGATTCTCTACTGATATAAAATAATGTTTTTTTGTTTTTTTTTTTATATACATGTGACCCACAGAACACAGAAAAACCTCTTTTCTGTGTTCTATGGTGTGAACTATCGCTGTGAACATTCAATCGTACAAAACCGTGTTCACCGATCGAAGGCTTCTATTTAACTGAGGTCAGCTCTCGTTGTTCCAGCGTCAATATTCCCGTCGGCATCGTGGGGCAACTGGGGAGGCGGAGGTGGGAACCTCTACTCCCCACACTCTATGGCCCCGCCCCACGTGACGTCACACCTAGGCTCCTACCCACACTACGCATGACCAGTGTAAGCCGTAACAGAATATCGGTTTATTAATATAATAACACTTGTTTTCAAAGAGCAGTACGTTTCAACTACGTTTATAATTAATCGAATATCTTAAAGCGGTTCACTCTGTGGGTTCTCCAGTGTGAGATTCATAATGACGTCACAGCATGCAAACAGTCAACTTTCTTATTTTTTTTTTCTAATTGAAAGTGAAAACCTCATGGAACTGCGTTGCGTGAGAATAGTTAAAAGTGTAACAGACACGAGGAATAACAGAGGTAGAGAATATATTTATATTATACTATCAGCAGTTGTTATATAGTCATTGTTGTCAAAAAGAGATTTATAACATAAATTTCTATACACCTTAGTTTAATTCTTAAATAACATATTATATTCTCTATTAAAACAAATTATATTTGAATCTCGTTAATCACTAATCAACATACAAATTAATATTAGAAAAATAATGATTTACCGGGTTGCGGTGTATTATTTTTATCGAATCCCCGATATTTCGGCGCCGTCTCGAGAAAGTTTATATCAGGCTGATTGATAGAATGTAATGTGGGTACTTTAATACCAAGCAATGTTAACAGCTATACTGTAAAGAATAAAGATTTGATTGCACTGAACAGAATCCGCAACTACAACAAGCCAGATTTTAAAAATCTGTCACTCACGGGAAGCTACATCATATGCGGGTGACATTGGATATAATTGAGGAAAACACAAAATACTGATAATAATACTCCTGCTATAATATTATTCTTAAAACAGCTTCGAAGTCGACTTTGAACGCAGTTCTGTAATAGCATAATATGTCAATCAAGTACAGCCTGCTTCAAAAGGTAATAAGACTTTGTTTAATTAGAATAGGATTTTATTCGACAACACACATCACATACGCAGATTACAAATATGACGAAACCATAAAAAATTTAAAAATAATAAATAGGGAAAATAAACTAATACAACCAAAATTTGTCACGGTGTGTGTTGCCCAGCTGGCTTCAGCTCAGTAAAAGCAGTAAGCGGTAATTGAACTGAATGCTGTGACAACATTATAATCGACGTGGCATTTTCAGAGGATAGCAAATCTGATAAGATTTCTATTTTATTTTTTTTGTTATTAGTAAACTTTTTAACTTTCTCAATAAAGAATATAAGAATTTAATTTAAAGTTGACTTACTGCTCTTTCAACGCTGTTATACACCTTAATGTTGTACCTACTCAAATTTTAAATTAAACTGATTTTTAGAAGTGTCAACATTACTGTGTATATACAGCTACACTTTGTACGGTTCCAATGATAATGGGTAACTGAAACAATTATAAGTATGCTAATTATCAAAACGTGTTTGATATTATCTGATGCCAAGTTTGGTAAAGCGCAAAAATGCGAGACTAGTCTTTTTATCAATGAATGATGTAAATACTAGGTATTCCTTAAATAAGTAGCATTATTTATTTAGGATAATAAATAAATAATTAAAAAATATATTGGTCGTATTAAGAAATAAATATTGTAAAAAAAAAATGACGAATATTTTTCTCCGTTTCTGAACGGATTTTTTTGCAATAACTAATTATGTACCTACTTTTATTGTTAAACTATTATAATAAATATTTAAAAAATTAAGTCGTTCTTATTGGACAATATTTTTTTAAAACATCTGATTAGTGATTTATTTATTTTTTTCATTTATTTCTGAGCTGATTAGGTATATTACGTTGTTGTTCGGTTATTGCAAAATTTTTTACGGAAAGTATTCGCTACTCAAAAAAAAGTACAATCGCCAAGAAAAATGAAAGTTGGTGATATTATATTCAGTATTAATAATCTGTAAAATAAATTTTAATTATCTTAGTTATTTATATATAATTAAACAATATGACGGAATATTGAAGTTACGAAATAAAATGTGAATCTATATAACTATACCTACATACCTAAATATGTATGTATAACTACAGAAAACCATTTAATGTTACATTCAGTGTTGAATAAATTGTATAGTTACATTTATTATTTTCATTATGATGATATTATTCGTTCTATTAAGTCTAATGCAGATGAACCTCACTTTTATTATTAATTAATAATAATATTAATCTTTATCTAAAACAGAACATGTTTTTATACATAAATTAATAATCTGGCATTTTCGGTTACAAATTAGCACCTAAATTATTTCGAACCCCCGAACTAGAATTAAATCTGTTTCAAGATAGGTCGTTCCCGAAATTTGAACTTGAATAATATTATGTTGTTATATGAATACTTGTGTACTAGAATTATGTTAAATGGCAGTCCAATAAAAGAAGAAGAATTCGGGCAGATCGTTAACAGAACCAGTTCAAAGATTATTCAAGAAATGATAATCAAATTCTATCTATAGTGATATAATAAAGTATCTGCCTGTCCAGACTAAGCATTGGTTGATAAAATAGAGAACTCTATCATTGTATTTACTATCTACTCATGTAAGCGTACTCTATAATTTGTAACACTAACAGAGGACGCTTAAATAATATTTTTACATACTATATTTATGATACTAGTGCCAGTCACGCATTTATGATTCATAATACCTATAATAAGAACCAAAAAACCTGTAATAGAAACCAAAAAGTACCAAATATTCCTTTTTTTATATATATATTTATATATTTACAAAGAGTATATTTTATAGACTCTTTGTTTGCCTCCTTTGATGCCATTTAGACTCTATTTCTGTTTATGAGTATCTGAATATGCTTTATTGTAGATATCAATCGACTAACTCGTTCTTATTTCTGCATAAACTCTTAGGTATATCGGACTGCAAGATTATAAGACTAAGCACACAAGTTTACATGAAAACTGCATCAGGTGATTAATCAATTTTGAATTTTGATACCCCGAAAATGTAACTAACCGTAATAAAAGAAAACATACATTCCGTTTTTTCTAACATGGACTCAATATTAGCAATATTTACACAGTAGAAAAATATTGCTATATAATATTTATATATTTACTATACTATACGTTTGTCTTAATAATCGTGTCATAAAATCAATCAAACCTTTTCAGTTTTTCATATTGTCATTAGTGACGATTGTTTAAAACCTGTGAATTGTTTATGAGAAATGTAAATATAAATATTAGATTTATTTAAAGAAAAGTGCAATCGTACTAATATTGATAAATTAGTGTAGATTTAATTATGAAAAGCAAAACATCCTTTTATTTCGTATATTATAATGAACAATTTATTTTACTCTTTTTATGTATAGTATGTTGGAGAATGAAAAAAATTATTTATTTTAGTCTATAAATATGCTATCAACAAATAAAATAGTATCAAATTGATTAAAGACGAAAATGAGATGCGGGATAGATCAGAATTACATGAGTGTTTGAAAAGATGGGAAAGCAAATGACAGTTGATTCTCGATATTTTTATTGTTCGAGTGAATAGCTTTTGTTAACTAACTCCGATGATGTTTGACTTCGCGAGTCTATATCGTAAGTTTAACTAACTGAAAGAATGAAGGATGTTCTAAAAGTAAATAAAAAGTATACACTTTTCGTGTAATTCTGAATAACATGAAAAAAATATTAGTTTCTACTATTAAAAATTTTAAAATTTTCCAAAGTACAGACATTAAGTGAAGATAATATAAAAAATCTCAACATTTTTAGTTTTCTGATAAATATTTATAATCTATATTTTTTTAATAATTACACAAATATATATGAGTTGAGTTTCGTGTCAAAATACGTTTTATTATATTCGAATAATCAACTACAAAAACTGAGTGTAAGCAATTTTTGGCGGTTTTACATTATGCATGCCTGTACCTGGCTTTAAATGAGACTACTGTGTCATTCAATTTTGAAATTGCAAGGACATAAACATTTTTGGATTTTATGTGGATATAATATTCTAAATTTATTAATATTAAACAAGCTATGTATTATGTATTGTCTATAAGTTTTGGACGATTAATTTATAATATCATTATATTGTATAAACTAACAGTTACCTATTTGTGATGATTGTAATAATAAAACTCCAAAGAATAATATTATATAACTATTTATTTTCAATTATTTACAGCATCGATTTTATTTGTTATTGATTATATTATAAGTTTCCAGTTTTTAATTTTAATGCATGTCGATAATAATTAAATCATTTAGTCGTAGAATTGCCATTGTATAGATGTTACTGTATTTGGAAATGAATAAAACAAATGAAATGTCTTTAATTTATTTGAACCTAAATATATATTTTTAGTACCTACCTACACCACTCTCTCTAAATGTGATATTTATTTTTTTAACTATATATATGCAGTTAGTACACCATATCTTCTAGTAGCTATAAAAATAGTTCTTTATACGATACAAAAAAATATATGTACCTCCCATTCCTATTCATGCAGTCCCTATTGATTAGTATAAATCCATCTAAAAGTTATTTTTGAATAACGGTTTTCCCTCGACTTCGCCCGCTGGCGAGCTATAGATGCTACTCATCTTCTGAAACTTTTCATCTTAAGGGGCCATTTGATAAGTTTCTTACTGGCCATCGTCCACCCACTTGATCTATTATGCAGTACCTAAATATAGATAATTAGAGAGTTATTGTTTGAATATGAACCAATAATAAAATTTCCGCTCCAAAGACCACTTGGGACGTTCCTGGAGCTACCAGTGGTTCACAGATCTCTGTTTAGAACCAAGTCTAATAGCTTTAAATGAGTCCGCATTCGGGGTACGGTGGATAACTGCGGTCGATGGGATTCGTAGCCAGAATGCGGGCGACCTCTATGAGCTTAATTTAAATTTGATAAACCAATCTCAATCAAGGAATATGAGCAAAAGATAAATGGGTAACTCTAGGATTCTTCCGCAGTACGCGAACGCCTATCGATTAATAAATGCGCTCCTTAATGCTTTATCTGCAAACGCCATAAAAAAAAACCTCGAAACTCTTTTGATATCTCCACCCGTTCTCAAAAATAGTTTTAATAGTAGTTAGGTACTTAAATACCGATATGAGCGCATAAGTTAGAATCGGTGCCAATCTGATGGAAGATCCATCATGTCATCCAATAAGGTTTACTAAAGTAGGTATATATACTTACTTTATTATTACGTGAATATTTATCATACGTCGGTTATTCCCCTATAGGTAAGTTACTGGAAATCCTAGCAGGCAAACTACTTTAAAATTATTTTATAAAAAATTAACAAATATGTATTAAATAAATAAAACTCGATCTATATTTTAAAACTATATGACGAATGCAACAAACAAACAAAGGCAAACTCAATGATTTTTTTACCTCTCATAATTTAGGCACGGCATATAAATTTACTTTCTTGACAAAGTTTACTGAAATAAGTAAATTAAAAAAATATATAATTTCCTATTGCTAACATACACATAACATAAACATATGCAGTTTTGATTACATATTAATTTACAAACGATTCCTATCAATATTTTTTTAAAGAAATAAATCGGTGATGTTGGAACTAGTAGTGACATCTGTTTATACATTTAACAACTATGTATAGTATAAGAGATAACTTTTCTGTACTTTAAATTTAGTTTGTAGTTGTACTAAATAATCACAGATGGCGCAACTCAAATAATGTAATGTGTACGTAGTGCATAGGATAGGTTACTTACAATTAGGTGTAACAAAAGATGGACTAATATTATTAGCTCATATCATGGTAAAATTAAGGACAAATAGACACTCGTCTAAATATTTGTGGAAATATTATTAATTTAGTACCTATCATAGGTGCTTATGTGACTTCTCCAAATGAAACAACGAATCTTAATGAATCGTTCATCAAATTATTGTACCTAGTAAAATATCTTTAGAATTTTACCCGATTTTTCCCAAATTACCAAAGGCCGTTTTTGTAATCCATATTATTATTTTAGTGAAAATAGTAATAATATAGATGACGAAAAAAGAAAAGATCCGCCTATTTAAACGATTTTTATCTCTTCTGGAAAGTTATGCCCTCCTGTTTTATTTGCACACAGAGGTAGGTACTACACAACACCATGGCATTTTATGAATAAATACTTCTATAAAATATTTGTTAAGATGAATTAATTCATTTTTTTTTTACTTATATAAAAAGGCTTTATCTCTATGGTGTTGATGCCCTCTCTCGGACGGTGGATGGTTGTTCATTCTTAATATACAGCAAACTGGTTCAATGTTCAAAACATAAAGCATTACGTCCTTCAAGACAATGTTAGATGGCGGTAGTGTCCCAATTTGATGGCTATTTGATTCACTGATTAAAGATTAGGTATATTAATCTTTGTATAAATTATATTAATCACTGTCACAAAATATTTTATTATTTTTATTAATAAAATACAGTATATGTTTACTCCACACACAAATAAAGGACTACTTGCGACATTGTTTATATCCACATAACTGATGCTTTTGCGAGATCCAATGATACTTAGAATAAATGTGATTCATGGTTATCCATTATTAATATACTTGGATTTTTGTGTGTTGTACCTATTAGTATGTTTAATAAATTGTTTTACCACTTCGGGAAAATTCTGACAATTCATCCATCCTGTAGGTGCTGCAAGTCCAAGAGTTCCATCATAAACTTCTTGATTTTTTTGAGGTGCTTTTTTAGTGCTTTCGTTTTTTTTAATACTACCAGCGTTCTATAGTCCTTAAAGATGGCGCTTCATGATGAAATATGGAAATCATTTCACCCAGGCATTTCTTTTTACTTAAACCATACTTAAAATTATAGTAAAAATAGCACGATAATCACGATTTGTGAAAGTAAATATCAAAGACAAATTACTGCACCCAAATTCTTAGTCGTAGCACAATGAAACCAAATCTTACTTACTTGATAATGATGACACTTCAATATAAAATATTTATTTTCCTTCTACCCTACAACACTAACCATACGACAAGACTTATTGAACAGCCTCTATTCTTCTCTTAAATATTTTGTCATATAGTTTTATTATTTTGTTATATTAATTCTTCTATTAATATGACAAAATAATAAAACTAAGCCTCTGAAAACGACGGTCTACGGTTGTGATTAAATTCTTTTTGCTAAAATCAAGCGTAGCACTGGTCAGTTTGCGAAACAAAGACTATGTTTAAATAAAAATGTCATTACGAATTTGTCACATAACAAAATAAACAAGACAAATAAAAAAATAAGAATTACAAATCGTGCACGTTTAGAAAAACCAAGAATTCCTAACAATGTTCGGGGTACGATCGATAATATCTCGCATTGTTCGAGAAAGAGGTCTACTATCAAAATTATCAATACCAATACGCTTGCAAAAGCATGGTTCCCACGACGATGGACCGCCACAGCCGTTTGATAACATGCCCTTTAGAGTCACCAATCGGTTAGTTACTTACTGCATCGTAATGTTACAACCCTTAGCTCCTAACCATTCTTTTGACAAAATGGTTAATTTTTTTTTATTAGTGCCATCTGTTGGCACTTAAAGATAATTAAACCGAGACACAGAGATCATCCATAAATAACGTCAATGATTTTGTTGATTATTTTTTCCCTACCCTGTAGTTGTCACAGCTGGTCGTCACATTTATTGTGAGACTCCCCCTCCCTATTGTGACTTTACATATTTTGCATTAAAACAGAGGTTCTTATCTCAGTTTTATATCCATTCATATAATATTAAATTGTTTTAACTAAATTATCTTAATTCCATGACTTTGAACCTAGCATAGCAGCCACTTCGTTCTTCTTTGGGTTGTTAATGTGAGGAACATGAGTCAACATCTTTTTTATCCTAAAATATAGTATCACCATCATCAGATGATGCGTAGATACGCAAAGAAGTTCTCTTGGCCGTCTAATACTTCTTGTTGCCTCTTATGTAATTGCATGTGTTGATTAGTGACCTTGTATGATGTAAAATATAGACCAAAGATATTTAAAGTTTCTTAAATACTTAGATAACTTTGAAACGTGACGTCGCGAAATTTAGGACCCCTCCCACCCCCTTTCATACTTCATCGACCCCTCTCTCCTTTAAAGTGACGTTACTTATGGATGGCCCCTTATGCGGCTTGCAAATAGCCCAAATTTTGAGGGAAGTTTGTAAGCTTATGCTAATTTTAGACTTAAAAATATATTTGCTATGACCTTAGGCTTGATTTTCTGCTATGCTGATGTCGGCTGCAGATCACAGGTTGGGAAATGGTGTTCTTTGCAACACTTCACAGCAACGCTGAACATGTTGGCTTATCAGAAAATCAAACCTTAAGAAAAAGATTATGGTATATATTTAGTAATACACAGATATAACTTTCAGCTACTTGACCACAATCGTGTTTGCTATCCTGTTTGGCTCTGGTCTATGGGCTCCCTACATTATAGTCTGGTACCAAATGGCTAAGAGAACAATGTAATTGTTATTTGTAGGAACCTTCTAATAAATTGCTTTAAAGTGAAGATGGTTGGTTTATTTTTTTTACATAAAGAGTTTCTAATATAAAGAAACACAATTATTAGGATACTAGCTTTTGTCTGCAACTGCATTAATAGTCAGAAATATAAATTAATATCAAAATCTGATCTCTACCGTCTCAAGATGAAATAATCAGGAGTATTAAATAATCAGACTATTATAATAGTTGAATTTTATTAGTGAAAAAAAAGTTTTTTGTGCACCACCATTTAGCATCAGGAAAAATCAGTAAATACTTGCGTATGCCTTTTATAAGTGTTGCTATATTTATTTATTTTTTAAAGTGCATAATAATATTCTATCCCATTGATAAGTATTATATAATTGCAGCATGTTCCATCAAACAAATGTGACATGCTGTGTGATAACATTAAATTGTAAACCCAGAAATGTTGGTGCAAACAAAGTAGATATATCAATAAAACCAGTAATTTGTTACACAATATTTATTACATCTTCACTACATCATTTTATTATTCAAGGCCAAGATGGTAGATCACCTTCCTTCACTCTACCACCATACAAACATGATTTATCTCTAAAATTAGTCATCCTGAGTGTCTCTTGATCATCTAAAAATTTGCCAAAAAAGAAGCCAGATAATGGCACTGCAAACCAAACATAGCGTGTTGTTATACCAAAGAGTGCCATCTTATTTCTGTTTTTGTTGAGCTTTCCAATTCCTAGTATAATTCCAGTCCAAGTAAATTAGAGTCACAGTGATTGTAGGGAACGATATACTCACTAAGTTCCTGCGGAGGAACCGTATGATCGCCATATACTGAAAACAGATTTGCTGTCAATAGAAAAAAAATGTTAATGTACCTCATAACTGAACATAATATAAAATTGAACTAAACATCCACATTCATATAAATAGTCTTAAAATCACCAGGTTTACATTAGTGCGTTACGTTTTCGAAAAAAAAAAGTAGCAGTTAACTGTTTTACTGCCCATACGACATAGGACTGTTTGTGCATTATGTAATGTAACATGTCTATAAAAATGCGTACGAAATTCCAGGATTTGATGTTGTCGTTGATAAAGAAACAAGTATTATCAATAATTATAACTGTTAAAAGGCGAACAAATGGAAAAATTATTAAACATTCATTAACTAGACAAGCACCTATAATAACAATGCCACTAATATTAAAACTACAATCAATTAGTAAACGCTAATTTTAAATAATACTGTATCTATTTATCATATACATCAATCGGTGCTCATTAAATATAACTTACATACAGCGACTAAATCAAATTAAAATAACTAACCTCGTAACCCCAAAAACCACTTCAAAATTTTTTGATTTGACGCAATGTTAAAAATTTTATAGCCATTGCATAGGGATGTGATCGATACTATAGGTACTGCTGTATATCAATACTTTTGATTTGATACCAATACGAGTACTCGATAACACCAATATTTGATACTGAATACTAAATCACCCATCATCATCATGGTATTAAAAATACTAATATTAAACCTAGAGATACGATTTCATAAAAATATCGAGTTCTTTGTATTTCAAAAATCGATCAATAATGAAGTATTTACAAAATAAAAAATAGTTCTTGAAATCATACTAGATGTCAGTCGCAATGTTTGAATATTGCCTATGAGATTCATTCAAATGTTGTTTCTGACGTAATAAAAGTAAATTAAGTATCGAAGATTAATAAATATCACATCGTTATTTTAATCGTAAGTTTAACTTATTTATTATGTTACGTGTAAAGGAATGATGTTTGGCATATACGTCAACATTAGTGATGAGGTAACTTATTGGTTGCTCGTTACTTTCATCCGAATTCAATTTTGGAATAACTTTCATCCGAGTGAGGAAGTATTTAAAAAAAATAAAGAAACTACAACAATTTATGTCACTAGATGGCAGCACAAATAATTAGATCTAAACGTCAATTCATGACGTTAAACCAAAAAGAATAGAATTGTCAGTTGTTATGGATTTGATAACTCGAATTAATATCGAGTTGAAATTTAATTAGTTCGAGTTATGCAAACGCAACTCGATTAATACAAAGTAATCTTTGAATAAATTTCTTTTTTATTTGTATAGAGGAAAATGGAAACTAACATAATGGAAGTGAGCACAGAGGTTTTTTTTAATTTATGGAAATCAATTGAATTAATGATGGATATAATTAAAAGTGGCATTTACCTACGGTATACAATAATATTATAGTTTTTATAAATTTGTTGAGCTTTAGCTAAGCTCAACAAAAACAAAGAGCACATATACATTGAGCTTTAGCTCAACAAAAACAAACGCCAAATAATTTTTATAAATAGAATACTTATGCCATAGTAGGTCTAGTAATTTTTAATTATAATATTTAACAAAAGTTCTGAAAACAATAACAACTAGATAAGTCAGTTTTATTGTTATTAGTTGTTTGTTGAACTTACAACAACAAAACTACATCAAGTCTAAATAACATTTTATATTATGTATGGTGAATGAATGAATAGGGTTTATTAATCAGCAACAAAAGTCATAAAAACGATAATCATACAAAAAAATCCTTTTATCATCTATATACTTACCCGATATGTATCAAATATACTAGGTATTCTTACAAAATAACATGACTTCTGGCTAAAATGACCTTTGTGCAAAGTATAATGTGCAAATAACTTGTACTTTCGAAATTAAGACTTAATAAAACTGTGATTAGTTATTAAATATTTTATTCATTATAAAATAATCTTAATAAACATTCAACAACCAACAAGAAACGTCTGTTCTAAACGAACAGTAAGGTTATAAGTTTAAATTTCAAAATCACAAAGACATGTACAGTTATTATACTATTTGCTACTGATCTTGCATGTCGATGGCGGACGTCGAGTCATGTGTTAAGTTAATTCGAACGGTGGGTATGTACTTTTTGGTTCTTACAATAATATTGTTAATAATAGATTGAATTCCTACACAACCTTCTCTAGAAATCAGTTTTATTGAAATATATTATTTACATGCCATGCAAGTAGTCATGCTCTCTCAAATCTCTGCGGAGGTGTCGTGTGCATTAGGTCGTTACGTTCCCTAAAATATAGTACAGTTGATATTAATATAATTCGTTTTGTGGATGCATAATGACACATACAAATACAAGCTGAATTCTGCGCTCCGCTTTTTGTTCTTCATTCCAAATTTGAATTCGGATGAAAGTTACGAGCAACCAATAAATTGGCTCGTCACTAATGTTGACGAATCAACCAAACATCGTACCTTTTCACGTAACATAATAAACAACTAAAACTTACGATTGCGCGATTAGCGCATAACGCCATCTAGTAATGTGTAGAGGAACCGCGCTGCTGTACTCTGTAAGGGCGCTTGTGCACTATATTGAATTTTCTGGTCCGGAGGTCTGATTTCTTCCGGTCCGATGTCAGGACATATGTAGTTAATGCCAGCCTGTGCACTGTCAGGAAATTTACCGTCCGGAATTTTACTTTTCTCTATTCCGGACCGGTTTTAACAGGTCCGTGATGACGGCAATGAAAAACGTGTTAACGCTTGTGCAATGCTGTGTCCGCGATCCGGAAAATTCATGAGCCTGCGGAGTAGGCTTGGAAAAAAATAATCGATTTATGTAAAATCGATATTGTATAATATAGAATGCGATATTTTATATGATGATTTGATATAGTTGGTAAATATCACTGGATATGCCTTGACATACTCGATATAGTTCTAATTTGATCATCGTATGGTTCTAGTATTGATACTTTTGCTAGATTCTAGAAATTAAAAAAATTGTTATTTGTCGTCAATCTAGCTTTTCGAGAGTAGACTATTTTTGGGAGCAAACACTTGTTGTAAAAACGTGTCAATTGTGAACATGTGTGAACTTTGATTATATAATGTCCAGATTCCGTGTCCCATATAAAGCGCAACGATATACAGTGATATACAGAACGATACACAGTGATATACAAAACGATAGTTAAAAGGGAAAATTCCGATATATTGATAATCGGTATTTATTGTAGAGTATAATTCGATATTTTGCTTAAAGTTAATCGCGTAATCGTTTGAAGTTATTTTTACAAAACTTCGAACAAAAACAGCACGATTATAAATTTAAACATCAAGAACTAGAACATTATCAGTAATTTTATTCTAATGTTACAGATATTTTTAGCGATTGTATGTGAATAATAATGTTCCTAAATTATATTACACCTGATAGTAGTCATCCGATAGTAGTAAACAAAAGATGCTTTCGTCTTGCCTCAATTTATTATGGTTTATGTAAAATGATCAGGTCGTTATTTAGGTACCTTTCTACGTCTTCGAACGCAATTACCGACGTTCCAAAAATCTCATCGTAACTAGCGTAAGTGACGTGTAGCTTCAAAGAGAGTTGCCCTAAACTGCGCCGCTCCGATCAGGAAAAAAACGGACGAGTGCACAAGCTACTCATACGGGTTTTTCATGTCATTCCGGACCGGAAACTAGATATCGCTACGGTACTTTCTTGATTTTCCATGACTACTCTTCCGGTTTTCTTTCATGTATAAAAGTAAATTAGTTTTCAAAACTCGATAAACAACACATTCTATTTGTACTTTTTCGTATTTGTATTAATATCGAAGTTTCGAACTTTGCGAATTTTTTTTTTTTATATGTTAGTTAAAAGGAACGGAAACGACTATCTTTGGTCCATTCGCTTCCTGCAAAAATCAACTTTTGCTAGAGTCGCCATCTAGTGGAGGCGCTTTTTAGTGCTTTCTTTTTTTAAATACTTCCTCACTGGAGAATAATACGTTAGCGTTAGGATTATTTAATATTCAACGACATAAAATATGGCGCTCAGTCCAAGGTCATAAGTTTTCGCACCTTACGATAATAATATGGATGCATACCGAAGTAATAATTTTCTAAGCCAAGCGCTAGTTAATACTGAATCACCGAGTGGCATAAATACTTCTCCGCAAATTTTTCTCAAAATACGCCACCAATCGTCGTATAAGTTTTGACACATCGCTGGTCTACCTCGTCCTGCGCGTGTGATGGTACATAAAATGAGCGATGGTCTAATAGCCGTAATAAGCGCTCAACATTGTACTATAACTTAGTTATCAGACACTTGGTACAGCTCTTAGTGTAATCGTAAAGCTGTCGATACGTTTTAACCACTTAAAATGTATGCACGAACCATCAGAATGTATTCACGCAATGAAAACTGATAAGTCATGATTACTGGAGCGCGAGCGTAAGCGTAACTTATTAGATGTGTTGTTTAGGTCACGGTCGTGCGGTGGGTATACGAGCTTTTTTAGTTGTTATAATAATATTGACAATCATAGCCTAGACGGCCTTGATAATGCATGAAATAATCAAAATACAGATATATACAGAATTATTCCAATGTTTGGCAAAGCGTGAGCGGATGTGTTGTTTGTATTGTATTTCACTTTATTAATTATGGAGTGGTATAATGATATTATTCTTAAACTTCTGGAAAGAGAATTCTTCAAAGAGAATTATCGATTCGGAAGCCCGAAAATCCTTATAAACGATGTAAAACTCTAAACCAAAAATAGTTTCGCTGAGTCTTTACCTGGCTTTAATTTTTTTTTTATCAAGACCCATACATTCTCTTAAATGGTTTGTTTATTCAAACTTATTTGATATGGGCGCTAGCCTACATATCGATTTTGAGACCGATTTTTTTCTGTGCGCTGTTGCGAATAAGGAAGTATTAAATAAAGAAAGCACTAAAAAAGGACCTAACTAGATGGCGACTCTAGCAAAAGTTGTTTTTTTGCAGGAAACGAATGGACCCAAGATAGTCATTTTCGTTGCTCTTAACTTACGTATAGTAAAAAAACTGAAATTTGCAAAGTTTGAAACGTAGATATCAATACAAATACGAAAATGTATAAATATGTGTTGTTTTTGGAGTTTTGAAAATTAATTTACTTTTATATATGAAAGAAAACCGGAAGAGTTGCCATGGAAAAAAATCAAGAGAGTACTGTAGTGACATCTAGTTTAGTTTCGGGAATTAATGTTTTTTTTTAATACTTCCTCATTAAAGAATGAACCAAAGAGAATATAATCATCTACGTAACCATGTATAAATTCTCTTTGTACGAAACGGAACATGCATGGATGGATGGAGTGAATTGAAACGAGCGAGCGTGTGCCTTCGTCATCGTGTGCAGATTTTACAAATTGCAGTGTGGGGTGTTTTAATTATGTTGATTTTAATGAAGTGAACAATAGTATTGGTGATGTTGGCCTTAGGCTTATCGTTATTTCGCAAAAAAACTGTAAAAGAACATACGTTTACTGTAGTAATCCGTCAAAAATCAAGAAAGCTTCAAACGTGTTTGAAGCTTTCGTTTTCGCATTAATGGAACTATGAACCTGGACTCTTTAACGTTTAGCTTATCGCAAATTAATTATCTCGTTGTAAATCTAAACAAGAAAAACTTCAAGCAAACTAGTCAAGAGTTGTCACAGGTGAGAAATTATTAGTTGTCTTTGTTGTCTGTTGTCGCCATATTGTAGACGACCGCAAGCGACACGATGGTAATTAAAAAGTATTGTTGAATGATTTTGCAATCTATATTTCATTTATTTTCTAGTTATATGTTATTATCATGTGGTTTTGGACAAGTTTTTTAGTAATTAGTTCGCTTCTGTGAAGGAAATAGCCCATGCGTTACGTATCTGTAACCGTATTTTCTACTTGAAGGTGGGTATTTGTTCTACAATTACTTTGCTATTTACTGACTGTTAGCTCTTCAATTGAAGTATTTATGCGTATAGTCATCGACGAACTTCGGATATATTACGTGTCGATGCTGCAATGTTGCTCTCTAAATGGTAAATTACTTCATAAAATGTTTCATGCAAACTTGTGTTTCCTATTTTTGTGAGTCACATATGTATATATTACAAAACCTAAAATAATGATTATTTTAACCATTGGTCAGCAAGGTCTTTAAAACAAATTTAATGCTGGGTTTTATGCATATAATGTGGGGTGGTGGAGTGTTAAACATGATACTTTGTGAAAAAAAATGCATTTTTATAAGTGCTGTCAAAAATTGGCAAATATTTTCTTATAAAAGAAAGAATTAAATATATGAATATTTTATGTATAGACATAGTGTAAGCGTATATAACAATATTTGGTTTGAAGCCTGAATTTCATCCCTTATCCATATCCGGACTACTGTTGACTTTGTAACCAACCCCTGATTTAGATAAACAAAGAGACATCTGATGATTTAATTTTTTTTTACTATCATTAAATAGATTGATCTTTAACTTATTTCTTACTAGTAATCAATGAGTTTTTATAAGCTACCTGCAATTAAATTTATAATAGTTTTAGTTTAATTCAATAGCTACCATTCTTCATATATCACAGTCTAAAAACCCATCTAATTATTTTATTTTTTACTATCAGCATCAACATAGGATATTTTTTTAAAGAAAGAACCTATTAATTAAACAAATAACAAGTATATAAATAAACTACAACCAAATACATAGTAAAATCTATAAAGTGTATTATATACATAACCTCTTTTTAAAACTGTAACATTTTTATCTTTAAAATAAAAAGTAAAATGAAGCTACTTTGAAATTTATGTAGTAAATTCAATTACAAAACTATATTGTATGAAGCAAATGATTCAATGTGTCATGTCTTGTAGTACACCTAGTATTATCAGTTGTGATGGTTGAAAATTTATTATTTTGATTTTGTATCTACTTTCAAAAATCACACACACATAAATATAACAACAATATATATATATATGTTGTTTTAGTCAGAAAAAAAAGGTTTTTGTAAGTAAAAAGCAAATACGGGGCAGATACACTTGACTTTATTTAAGAAGCTGGAGCTTCTTTTGTTTTCACCTAGCTTTTGCGAAAACTTTGTCACTATGCTTGTTATATTTTGCATTATTAATATTTAAGAACTTGCTATGCGAAAATATTTATTTTGTAATATAATTAATACTGGAATGTAGGCTCTATACAGATGAATGTTATTGAAATGTGATACATAAAGCAGAAAGCAGTTGACAAACAATACTAAAACTGCTGCTGCGCTGATTGTACAGTACACCTGCAATTTGTGTGCTATTCTAACAGTTACAGTGCACTAGTACTGCATGCTCATTGTACATGAGAATTATGCTGTTTAACCATCGATAATGCCTCAGTCCCTGCAGTGGGGATGTAAAAGGGCTGGTGATGATGATGATTAATGTTGAACATATAAGTATATATGTAGATCTGGAAACAGAATTTACTTTTCTTTATCATGATGAATGTTTATGGACTACGTGTTTAATGATGGAATCTCTCAATAATTCTCAAAATGAAAAACCAAACTTATATGATCATTACTCTATCTATCTGTCTGCCTGTCTGTCACAGTTACTTTAAATTACTGGTCTGACATCGATCTATATGTTTTGTAATATTAAACCTTTTTATAATAACTATATATTTATACAATTCCTAGCTTATTATGCTAATTTCTTTTCTCATAATATATTAATGAATATTGTAATTGTTAATATAATTAAAAATAAATTATTCTCTCAGTTTATAATAGTTCCATACTTAACCAAATTATTAATTGCGCACCAAGTTACTGGAGAATGAAGCTTATAGTACCCTATGTATCTCTTTATTTGTATATGTGTAGGCAGTGTAGTTTGTAAAGAACAAAAATACGTCCATTTGTTATAGTTGTTCACTGTGCTGTGCATTACAATGTCCTTTACTTTTCCTGTTGATCCCATGCAGGATGTGTTGGTTCACAATCATCTTACCTACTATTATCTATTCTTTCTTATTTTTTATGATCTATGGTGGATACAATATCAATCGTAATTTTCATTAGGCTTTTACATAGTCTCTTTCCGCCTATGGTTTTAGGTGCATGTATAATGTGATTTTCAAATCCATATTTAAACCCAAAAAAAATATTTTTTGCTATATGTTTAAGTGAACTTCTGATGTCATTCATTAATTAATATCAGTTTGATCTGAGCAGTACTTGAGCTGTGCGTTTATAATAGATCAGTAACTCAGTCATTTTTCAATTAGTTTCAATAGAGGTTATCAACATTGTGATTCCATTTAATATCAATGCTTGCTGCAAGTCTGATGGAATATCCTTTGAATATACTATTATAGACATATAATAGGTTTAACATTCAGCAATGTATAATAATACGCGACGTATAAGCACTTGTGCTTGCACAAGAAGTGTTAATTTTATGCATTTCTCTGGTATAATTTTGAAGAATTATTATAATATGCAATTTGCGAATGTGAACTGTTTTTTCTCTTGCCCTTAGGTGCCAATATATAGCAAAATCGAGTACAATTTTATTTTAGACAAAAGTTAAAGTAATTTCACATTAAGTTAAAAGTACTGAATAAAATAAAAAAAAATAAATGATATGGCTGTATAAATATACATTCAATTCGTCAATAAATAGAAAATATTAAATATATACACATAATAATGTAAAAAAATATTTTAAGTCATGCTTGCGTGTTTTTGAAGGGAACCTTAAAGACATTATGATTGCAGTTTATTTTAAAAAAATTTATTGTTTATAGTGAGTTTTGATTATTTTACAAGACAATTAAGAATAAACAAGACAAAGTGTCATGAACGTGAATAATATCGGTATAATTAATTTAATAATATAGTGCATAAACAAGAAAAGTATTCTATGAATTTAACATAGGAACACACACAGATCACATCTTTGTAACACCAATGGCTTAGTGAAAATAGAGGATTGATATTAAAGAAAACTAGGACAGAATGGGCGAAAGGGTTTTTGCCATAAATAGGCATAGTGGCACTCCTGTAAGGGTTTTCATTCCATAGGTGATAAAGGATGTGGCTATGGACATAACATAATAGATGTGAACTTGAATAGAAGCTTTATAATATTAGAAATAAAAATGATATCATTAAGTACATATGTCTGTTTTTTTTTTGTTTGAACTTACAATTTTACATGGCTCCTATGAATTCCTAGGAATTATATACAATTCCTAGATTTTCTGAAACATATATGTTTATGTTTTATACTTATCTTTGATCAGAAATCTCTCTGGTTTTTAGATAAGAGATCAAAAAGTCATTTATAGGTATCTAAAAATCTATAATTGGCCGCAGTTTTTAATATTTATTTTTTCCCCTCGCAGCTCGTCAGTCTTTATGGACTGGAAGCAGAAAATCAGCTTTTGAGGTGCTTGCTTAGTGAAGCAGCAAAGTCATCTTGGGATAGCGACCGACCGGGATCATCGAGCAGCAACAGTGTCCACGCGTCCCTCCTGACTGCTCAGCTCGCTGCTCTACTAAACCATCCGGCTAAATCCACCGTCGTCTGCCGAGCCGTCGACCAACCGACACGCTCACTCCAGAAGGTAGGTAGGAAGGTAGCAAAGTGATTCGTTAGCAAAGTCACTTTTTAGTTGCCCATTAAACTTCAAAGTTCCTTCTGTATTTGTCTGTATGTCCACCCTAGAAAATAAGTCCTCTTTCAATGGAGTTTTGAACATAAACTTATTTCATTGACATTATTTTGATGCTCAATCAAGTATTCATGGTTTGGAGCACTGAGCCATTTGTGATACCATTTGTATTTTAATTATTCTAGTTAATTAATTATTAGTTATTTATAACTTTACCTTCTCAACGAGGACACTATTTATCAGTTTCCATGTTGATATAATCAAATACTTACATAATCTTTAATGTATAGAGAAATTTGGTGAACTTATTGTTAAAACTTTCAGATGCCCAATACTAAGTCTTAATACTTATAACATTATCTCAATTTTCACATTTCATGTAATTCTCTGTTATGTCATGAGCATTTATTTATGTTATTGTTACTGTTAAGTAATCTATCTGATAATAAAGTATTTGTGAAAAAATATTTTGTTAACTGCAGCTGGCTAGGAGGCCATGGAGATTTTGAATGTTCACTGGACATAACAGACATCATACAGATGTAGGTACTAACTGTTTTACATAAATAAATGTTTTTATTAAATGTTAGTTCTCAACATATATGGGCAATTAGACAAGGAATGATAATAATGTGTAGATAGTCTATAGAATAGTTCAACAAATTGATTACATTCAATTTTATGTTTCCAATGAAATTTTCCTTTCAGATTTTAAAACCTTCAAATACATTACTCAATCGTCTTTCAAGATTACTAAAATTAACCACTGCCGAGGATGTTGCCTTTTCTTTGGTTTTGAGGAGGAATTCTTCCAAAACTGAAATAGTATCACTAGCACAACAGCATCTGAAAAAGAGATTTTTAGATCTTGTGCAGTGTTATCTTGACGCAGGTAAGCTTTTTTAAAAAAGGGTTATAAATAATAATATTTCCAGTTATGTTTTGTCAATTTTTTATTTTCTTTTTTGTTTCATAGAGCGTGGTCATCAGGTGGAGCGAGCAGGTCTTCAGGAATGCAGCCCTGAAGTTTTGCAAACTCTCTTGACAAGCATTGCACACGAGAAATTAGCAACTGTGACAAAAGACTTGTTTCTCAAACGTTTGCGAATTGATTTTCCGCGTGAAGTAGTGCCTATTGTTTTAGCGCCACTACTGTATCCTGACGATACTCAAACACCACTCGAGGAGATGACAACAGCCGACGATATGGCTGCAGCCATGATGGACAACTCACTGGCGGATATTATCCGCGACATTGGATATTCCTTTACGTCATCAGTAGAGGATTGCAAAAATAATATGCTGAACTTTGGTGCAAGAGAACCTACTGCCATTGATGTGGCCAGAATAATATCTATGATGGTAAGGTACCACACCTCAATGTCAGATGGTCCTCAGATACAAACGCCTGGTAATTTTTGGATGAGCCACGAAAACAAGAAAGACACTATTACACATGGACATGGTGAATCATGGAACGCAGAAGTATTTGTGCAAACGTTAAAAGAATTGGCGTCTAATTTGAACTGGAAAGAAGTGATATTACAATTAGATCATCCCGAGTTTATAGTACCTGATAGACAAGGATTGAGTTTGCTGTTCACCATCTTAAGGTTAGGACTTCAAAGTGCGGGCTATCCGGCTAATATATTCCCCGTTGAATATCTTTGCCGTCGATGGACGAACTTAGAAGGTCAAATCAGTTTGATCACTATGATTCTCAAATACCCAGATATCTTCAGTTTTGCTGACCATCCATTTCACCCAGTATCAATAGATTTGTTAAAATCACCACCTGAAACGGACAATAAAGAGATTGCCACTTGGAGATGCCTTTATCTGGTTGAACTTCTGTTGTATGCTGCGGAGCGCGGGTATTACATGCAGGTTCATGAGTTGCTAAAGTTTCCACTTCAGCATTGCCCTGATATCTTGCTATTAGCTTTACTACAAATTAGTCCACCTGTAACAGTATTTCGGCAAGAGTTACTGTCAACGCTAATACCAATATTTCTGGGCAATCATCCGAATTCCGGCATTATTCTACATCACGCCTGGCATACGCAGAATCCCAATATAAAGCCAATTATTATGCATGCAATGGCCGACTGGTATATACGTGGCGAAAGTGATCAATCTAAGTTATCAAGAATTTTGGATGTTGCACAAGATCTCAAAGCGTTATCATTATTACTAAATGTGCAATCATTTCCGTTCGTTATTGATCTGGCGTGTCTGGCTTCACGAAGAGAATATTTAAAATTGGACAAATGGCTAACGGATAAGATTAGAGACCACGGAGAAACATTTGTCTCCGCTATGGTGAAGTTTTTGCAAAGGCGATGCCCTCAAGTTATCGGCAAAGGACCCGAAGAGCAACTGCCCAAAGCCGCTCAACTACCACCTGAAACCATAGCTACAATGCTAGCTTGCTTACAACTATGTATTCCTAATGTACAACAAGAATTACAAGAAGCTATTTACAATGTCATAGCTAACTGCCAGACATTAATTTTGAGCAAAACGAGGCAAAGCATCGCAGGATTAGCACGCCCGCATACTCGGGTACTGGAAACGCCATTTAACCCAGCAGCAGGTTTAACAGGGCAGTTGTTTACACCGCACGTTGATTCTATTACTAATTTGACACCAAACGTAGCGAATCTTAATTTGGGAGCTCCAGCGAATACGGCATTTACCATGCCAGGTACTCTAGGGCCCCTTGTAACTACCCCTGGATCTCCATCGAGGTTAATGGGAGCTGGACCAAATAGTCCCTTTACGATGATGCCCTTGCAACACAGCACTAATGTGGCGAATATGAGTGCACTCGCTAGAATGGCTCCGGCGCCAGCTATGGATAAACCACGTATTCCTGATCCCATACATTTCCCTGAAATGATGCATAATGTTTCAAAGGAGATTGAAGATGAAGCCAATGGATATTTTCAAAGAATTTACAATCATCCTCCACACCCTACACTGTCTATAGATGAAGTTCTTGAAATGTTGAAGAAATTCCAAGATTCACCAAACAAAAGAGAACGAGAAGTTTTCTCCTGTATGCTTCGAAATCTGTTTGAAGAATATAAGTTCTTTCCTCAGTATCCAGATAAAGAATTGCATATTACTGCTCAACTCTTTGGAGGGATTATTGAAAAGGGTCTCGTTCCTAGTTATGTCTCATTAGGGCTTGCATTACGTTTCGTACTTGACGCCCTACGGAAACCTGAGGGTTCTAAAATGTATTACTTTGGTATAGCTGCATTAGATAGATTTAAATCGCGTTTAAAGGATTACCACAAATATTGTGAACATGTAAGAGCTATACCACATTTTAGTGATTTCCCTCCACATTTGATCGAGTACATAGAATTTGGACTTCAGAGCCAAGAACCACCAACCAAACCTCAAGGAGCTGTGTTGCCTAGCAGTCTAGCTGCTGTACTTAACCAAACTGCGGTAGTAACTGTTTCAGCACCTTACAGGTAATTATCATAAGTACATAATATTAATGATGTTTAGTGATACTTATAATTTATTGATACTTATAATTTTATTTTGTTTACAGAGCCGTCGTATGTGCATCTAGTATTTCTGTGATAGCTAAAGTAACCAATTGTGCCGCTGGAGGAATTGGAAGCCGACCTTCCATTGCTAACGCCACTAATATTGATACACTTCTAACAGCTACAGATAGAGAAGAAAAAATTAATACACCTCCCGAAGCAATACAGGACAAAACAGCATTCATTTTCAACAACCTCAGTCAGCTAAATCTACAGACAAAATGTGAAGAACTTAAGGAAATAATAACAGATGAATATTATCCTTGGTTGTCACAATATCTGGTCATGAAGAGGGCTTCCATTGAGCTCAACTTCCATGCTTTGTATTCAAATTTCCTTGACGTTCTCAAAATTAGAGACATAAACAAAATGGTTACGAAAGAAACGTACCGCAATATCAAGGTTTTACTGCGCTCAGATAAAGGTATAGCCAACTTTTCGGATCGTTCACTTCTGAAAAACCTCGGTCACTGGCTCGGTATGTTAACATTATCCCGTAACCAGCCAATACTTCATATCGACATTGATCTAAAAGCACTCGTACTCGAAGCATATCATAAAGGTCAACAGGAACTACTCTATGTTGTACCATTCGTCGCTAAGGTACTTGAGTCTTGTGCCAAAAGCGTCGTGTTCAAACCCCCCAATCCTTGGACGATGGCACTGATGAATGTTTTAGCTGAACTACATCAAGAGCCAGATTTAAAACTGAACTTGAAGTTTGAAATAGAAGTGCTGTGCAAGAACCTCAGCCTTGACATAGCCGAACTGAAACCTACTCTTTATTTGAAAGACCCAGAAAAGCTTAGGACTATAGAATTTCAACTTTCACAGCCTAAGCAAAATAAGGAAGCCACAAATGCTTTGCCGGTAAACCAACCGATAGTGCAGACGCCACAAATGCAAATGATACCTACACAACCCCCGATGATTCCGACTGAGGACATGACTGCCACCGCTCCCACGCCCACTAGTGGACTGGTGGCGAACGATCCTAGTCTGATGGGTGTACTAGGTTTGCCGGAGCCAAGATTCAACTATTTAGATGTGAATGTTTCGTCAACATCTGCTTTCGGTCAGAAAATATGTTTCAACCCTCACATTATTCTTTTTCAAAACTATCCTCACCTGAAGCAGTTCGTTAAGCCGGCGATCGAGCGATCTATACAGGAGTGGATTCATCCAGTAGTAGATAGGTCAATAAAGTATGCTTTGACCACTTGTGAGCAGATAATTAGGAAAGATTTTGCATTAGATCCCGACGAAGTGCGGATGCGAACTTGCGCACACCACATGATGAGGAATTTGACCGCTGGCATGGCGATGATTACATGCCGAGAACAAATTATAAGCACCATCAGCACCAACCTAAAGGCTGCATTCATGACCGCTCTGATGCCTGCCACCCCACAGCAGGTAATGTGTTTTTTCCATTTGCCACGACGTAACTAGATAAGATAGATTTATTTCTTTATTTGCATTATACACACAAAATTTTACAAAACTGATTTCCATAAATGATTGAGAAGGAAAATAATTAAAAGTAGAGAACAAGATGTAAGTAAAACAAGACAATCAAACAGTATGCAAATGCAGTAGGCAATGGATGCAAATGGGCGAAAACACGGTGAGTATTTACTCAAGGAGCACTGATATTCCGTTTTTACCTAATTACCGGTAAATCGTGGTGGCGCTATAAATATTAGAATTTGAAGAATTTATAAAGAAATTGATAATAGAACTACTATACTAACTAGACACTACAATAGTTCTAATAAATACTTACTAATTCTAATAAATAGATAAATGAAAGAAAGTAAATAGGTTCATTTAGTCAGGATCATTCAAACTCAATCGGAAACTTTTTCTTTAAACCTTTCTTTCGATAAGAAAAAGGATTTATCAGTTGAAACTAGTCACACAATAAATATATAGGTAAATTCACTTATAATTTTTTGTTATTAAATCTTTAATATATACAATAATCACCCTTATTTTTTCCCACTAAATTGTTGTAATTAAATACAACATGCTTATACATATTTCGAATGTGAGTGTACCATTGAGGAAGTTAAATTTTTGCACACAAAATCCTTTCTAAAGTTGTCGCTGTGCGAGCATTGCTCTGCGTACTGTGGACATCAAACACTAACGCTAATTAGTTAAAACCAGCAGAAACTATCTTCCTCACTAGTACATCACATGCGTTTGCAACGTGATTTAGACCGTGACATGTTCCAGAAGGAGATCATAGAGAGTGCTGCAGCTGTGCTGGCAACCGAGAACATGGAGTTAGCATGTGCTTTTATACAAAAGACAGCCGTTGAAAAGGCATTACCCGAACTCGATAAGAGACTAATGAGCGACTACGAAATGCGAAAACTTGCACGTCAAGAAGGCAGACGTTATTACGATCCTATAGTGTTGGCGTATCAGACTGACAGGATACCAGAGCGAGTGCGTCTGCGAGTTAGTGGACCCACAGATTTGCAGATTGCGGTGTATGAAGAGTTCGCATGTAACATACCTGGATTCATGCCGGTGCGTGACGCTGGCATGTTTATACCAAAACCGTCTGCTCAGGAGCAGATGCCTCAGCTCGCGTTCAGCCAACCTATGAATCCGACACAAGTCTATGGTTCTGACGAGATGGGAGGACTTATCTCGGCAGCGGAACTGTTTCTGGCTAACTCGATGTCGAACGCATCTCTGGCAGCGCAAACTGCGAATATGCATTCGCTGCTAGAATGTTTGTTCATCGCGAGGAGAAATCGCGATATTGTATCTAAATGTGCTTTATTGCAAAAGGTAAATAATGTTACAATTATCATTATCTTTGGTTTTATAAACTTTGTCTTATTATCACCACATTCTATCCAAAACAGTTCAGCCGTTGTCTTAGTAACTCTAACGTCTAGAGATTAATTTCCCATTATGATATATCTACATAGATAAATCACTCTTTCATATCATAAGTTTTAATTCAGAACTTTAATACGAGCATTAGATCCATATGAGTTGTAGTTCCGAAAACTTGAATGTGATTCAGTTTTTTTATCAATTAAAATTGCATATAGTTGAGTTAATGACTAATGTTGACAGGCTGTGGAGGGTCTCCTAGACAGCCACATAGTACAACCCGGCGCGAGTAGTGAACACGTGGACATGATGACGCGTTACCGCGATATACACTTGCGTGTACTCAAGCTGCTCGAGGACGGCCGAGTATATGGCCACGTCTGGACCACCAAGCAGATCACTTACTGTCTCACTGAATGTCGCGAGGAATTAAGATACAATATCGAAGCCGTCGATTGTTTGATCAGAAACCACCTAATCAACTTGCCACAGGTATTGGTCTATATTTTGTTGTGTATATTCGCTTCATATTTAATTCAAACCATTTACTTATTATTTAATTAATAAAGTAGTACCGTAATTAATATAAAGCTAACGAGGAAAGACTGTCAATGCAGATGAGAGAAATATTTCGTTGCTACTAATGTTTATTAAATTTTACTACATAGTACCTGGTTATGTGTATATTTTAGATAATATTGTGTTATAATGATCTGTTTAATTCGCGAAATAATCAAAAGTAAACAAAACGAAAGAAAAATAATCTCTACAATATCTTTCCCTTAACTAATGTTTAAGAAACATTCTGATCTGTTATTAGTCTGTTTTTATAAAATGCAACCTTTCTTCGATTTAAAGATTTGATAATAGACATGCAGAAATAAAATGTGAGTTTTTCAAACATGTCTATATTTATAATCCAAAATTATTTTATTTTGTCGTAGTATGATATCGCTCTAGCCCACCTCATGGATAACGGTAACAATTACATGGCAGTAGCGTTTGCGATGCAACTTGTGCAGTTATACCTAGTAGACGACAGGAATAACCTTTACGCCAATGAGGCAGACTTGTACCACACCACTGAGAGCCTATATAGAATCATGTCTCACTCGAGACAACCGCCGCCCGAGGGCTTGGGAGCATTGATTGAGATGCTTCGAGTTAACCAAGATCCTAGCGCATATCTCGGCGAAAGATCCCCGCTTGGACCAACTGCTCATATACACTCCGGCATCATGCAAGTGAGGGTAAGTGTTCATTGTATTAAAGACTAACAGACCCGTTAGGAAAGCCAACCCTGTGCAGAAACGTGACTTATAACATTTTTGCAACATAATTTTAGAATTAGAAAGGTAGCGTCAACATATTTAATATTGGAAACTTCTTTTAAAAATTAGCAGGTGGAAATTAATAAAAAAAAAAATCAGTGAGTCGAGACACATATGTCAAGGTTGAAATGTGGTGTGTCTCGACTCACTTAAAGGTAGTAGGAACTTCTATCATTATTAATAGTAGATTTATAAATAAGATGTTTCTTAGGCACGTGATTACGACGATCCGCCCGGCTTGCAAGAGAAGACCGACAATCTACTGCGGGAATGGCGCAACGTTCTTCTCAGTCCACTAACAGAGATTGAGATCGCACAGAATTTCAACCTATATGTGCACAGAATGAACATGAACGGTATACTCAAGTCTGACGACATGATCACTAGGTTCTTCAGAATAGCTACACAAATGTGTATCGAAAGCGTGTACCAACAGTTGTCCGAGGAGAGAGTCAATCCGCCACAGAATCCAGCGAAGAGGGAAAAGTATTATGCCACATGTGACTCATTCATCAAATTAGTGTCACTTCTGATCAAAAATACTGCTGATGGTGGTAACCCTACGCCCAAGCTCAACTTATTGAACAAGGTGGGTATTACATCCTATTGGGTGGGTATAACATTGCTTACAAATTACTAATTTTCACAAGAAGGAAGAAAAATTTTGAATATTTTATTCATGATTGAAGTCACAGAAACTTATTGGCTAGCACTCACTACATAGACATTTTGTTTCACGCTATATGTCAAGTTCCTAAATATGTTTAGATCCTGGGGATCATCGCTGGTTGCCTGCTGCAAGATCACGATGAACACGGTGTCAATTTCCAACAGCTTCCGTACCATAGACTTCTACTGATCCTGTTTCTAGACATGAATATGGCAGAGCCTGTCTTGGAATCTATGAATTACCAGGTAATGTGGAAATTTGAAGACTGTAATAAATTTGAAGAGTTTGTTTCTGTTTTTAACTATGGAGCTGTCAGTTGGATAAGAAAAATATTTAGGAATTCTATAGATCTGATCTGATCTCATTCTTGAATATTTATTTGAAAATGCATAAAGTAATATACACATCGTAAATTAATTGAAATGGTTGACCAAACATTGGACCATAGAATGATTGAAGGCCCTGAAATGGGCCAAGCATAAACATTTACAAAGTTTGTGGTGTTTGCCAAATAAATAAAGCACCAAAGCCTATTTCGTCAGTCTTGGAGCGATCACCAAACAAAAGTTGTAAATTAGTCGCATTTGCCCAGGTCCTCACCGCGTTCTGCCATACTCTCCGCATCATCAGACCTAGCGTAGCGCCCGGCTTCTGCTACGCTTGGCTCGACCTAGTTGCCCATCGGGCTTTCATCAACCGGGTCTTGGCCGTCACACCCCAACAAAAGGTTTGCAACACACAGACACTTAGGGTCCGAACTATTATGTAATTATCACACTCGACATTTAGAATTGTTCACGAGATTTTTTCTTTGACTCACTGGACTTTGGATGTTTGGATTATGTAATATTTGTATTTATTTTTTCTCTATGATCTAATGCAGCTTTTTGTTTTAACTTACCTATAAGTGCGTTTCGTACACTTTGGTGTTATATATTTTGTATGCTGCACTAATTTTACTTGATTGGTTTAATGAAATTAATCGAAAAAAATACCTTTCCTATATATAATAATTAAGTCGAAAACTATATTGATATTAAATTAGACGCATACATTCACAAATATTACATTTTGTAAATATTCAAAGTGGACATATGTATATACATAGTTTGTAGAGCCAGAGTAAATTTTCTAAGATTACATTAAATTAATTTTTAACTTTAATTAATACTGACATCACGTTTTGCTAGAATTATTTAGTCAGATATGGTTGAGATATAAGTAAAAAGTGCAACACAGATACGAATTAGTATATATCCATAAATATTTTTTTTAAACTTTTCTTACAATCTTAAATCTCATTCGCCTAATTTTTGCTAAGTGAGGATGAGTTGGTTAAAATTGCTCAGGATTTTTTGTAAGGATATGAAACTAAAGTTACAGTAATTTATTATTTGCATTACAGTCAAGTAGCCAATTGACTTAAAAATTAAAATTAAAATCGGTCAATCAGGTTTATACTAAATAAATTGTTCAATGCTTGAACTAGTGCATAACATGCAGTCAAAGCATGTAGTCTTTCAATTGTCTAACAAATTTTAATTCTTTTTTTATACTTAAATTATATTCATTTTAGCAAATTTTGTTAGAAAAAGTTGACAAAAGGTTCATGTTCCTACAAAATATATCTAGCAAACATAGTCCCTTGTGTTAATTTGTAAATATTTTTGTCATGTGTTTGAAAATTCGTCTTTTACCCCATTGCTTTCCTCTGAATACCGAGTGCACTTGTATATCTTGAGAAATACTGACGGATCTGCATTAGTGAGAACATTTATGTGCTAAACAGCAGTTTTATATCCAAAGTATTGGGTTATTGTAGGGTAGGTTACTATACAAGATTTCAAAAGTAATAATTTAATTTGCGCTATTCCCGCACTACATTATTTAGATCCCTCAAGTATTCTCATTGTATACAAGTGTCTGAAAGTGTTGCATAATTTTGTCATGATTTTCTCCCAAGCTGCTCTACAAGCGGATAAAGGTTTGTCTTGGAAACTGTTTTTGTGTGTTTGTCTTGCATTGGTTCATTTTCCGTTAGTAACAAAGGAATGCTATCTATCAGTCTAAAATGTGTGTCGGCATTCGAAATCTTTGCTCAAAAAACCTCTTAAGCATGTTTGCATTTATGTAGCCAGAGTTACCCGACTTTTCGAAAATTGCTCAGTTCAATAATTAATTAGCATGAAATAAAAAAATTGATGGAATATCTTATTGATGTCTATCGACGATTGAGTCTTTTTCAGTTAGATGTGTTGTCCTAAATGTATCCAATGCAAGTTGAAATTGGTTATCTAGGAGAGCGACGTTAGCAAATTTAGCAATTCTACTTGCAGGGCTGGGGCATGTATTCGACGTTGCTGATCGACCTTTTCAAATTCCTGGATCCTTTCCTGCGCAACACTGAGCTGGCATCGCCAGTAATGATGTTGTACAAGGGTACTCTGAAGGTGCTTCTCGTACTCCTGCACGATTTCCCGGAGTTTTTGTGCGACTATCACTATGGTTTCTGCGATGAGATACCTCCCAACTGTATCCAAATGAGAAACTTGATACTGTCTGCGTTTCCGCGCAATATGCGCCTCCCGGATCCGTTCACGCCGAACCTGAAGGTGGATCTGCTGGCTGAGATCACGCTGCCTCCACGTGCGGTTATCAACTATGCAACGATTATACCCTCGTCGCAGTTCAAGAAGGATTTAGACGCTTACTTGAAAGCGCGCGCTCCAGTCACCTTCCTCTCAGAACTGAGGAGCAACATGCAAGTTAGTAACAATTTATATATCTCTTTAGTTTATTATTGCCTTTTAAAAATTTTGTGTATCCTTATTAGTTAACTGTCCACAAGTCCCATTTTTTTTTTTGCCTATAAAGAAATAAATAAAAGTTCATTTATAACTAGTTTATTTAATTGATTTTATTCACATCGATACTGATCTACATGCTTGCTCTTGAACTACATCGCGATCGATCGACATTGCAATTGTGATGTTTCGTACTCCTGATTTGGTTACACTAGCTCCAATTGATTCAATATTGCGTGGTTACTGGATGAACTAATTGACATT